AGTCATACTTCCAGTTCTCTACCTCAAAAAAAAATTACCCCTTCATTGATGTTTAAAACAGCAACACAAGCCAATTACTTGGCTTGTCCAAAGAAAATAATAAAGCCATTAATCCAAATATTTTTAAAGGATAGTGATCAAGACAGTAGATTAATGTTTTGATTAGATCAATCATTGAGCAGCAGTTTAAAGCAGCAAACCTTATGCTAGTTATAATACACACAAGTTAGAGCAAAAGTCTTAAATAGAATTGTAACCAGAATACAGTAAGAGTTTTCTAATTCACTCATGATGAAGATATTATTAGTTATTTGGGTTTCCAGATTAACAAGTGCGCATCTTTCAGTTTTCACCTGGCTTGACCCTTGTGTAGCTTCCTCCCTGTCAAGAAAGCAACACTGTTGTATAGAGGATCAATAAAAAGAGAGCGAGTTTTGGCTTCATTTGAGGTGGCTCATGAGGCACTGCTCTAATCTTACTGGAGTTAAAAGATTATACAAGCCAATCTTCATTAACTAGAAACTGTAATGCAAAAGGGCCTGAAAAGAGCTAGGCGTGAGTTAGGGTTTTTACAGTAATATCATTTAAAATATGGTTAAGACTCCTCCTATACACTGTAAAAGCAACTCCCGCTTGACACTTGATGACTCGCCCCTTAAGACATCCCTGCTGCTTCCTCAACACAGCCCTCTTTTTAAGGTGTATAAAATGAGTCCTGGTGAGAAATGATGTCTTCTTCAGCACTTTGCAAGAACCCATATACTTACATTAAAAACTTCCTTCTTAAAGCAAAAAAAGTAATGATTCTGTGCAGGCGCAAACTGTTTCCATAACAGTAATGAAAATGATGAATCAGGAGGAAAGTTTGATTGAGTAGTGAGTTTAACTACATTAATTTTCAGTTTCATGCCTTAAAACTAATACTTGTCAGAAGTGGATTAACATTTTCATAATTAAAAAATTACACACATTGCTGCACCCATCAAGTGTACCAAGCTACAAGCTAAAAGAAATAAGCCCTGATACATGCTGCAGTGCTTTATATGGCCAGTGGCTGATCTGGAAGCTTTTAAAAGCTTTTTTGACTTTGTTGTTCAAGTTTTGCTAGTCCCCAGAAGGAGCCCTGGTGTTTGTGCTCTCTCTCTGTCCAAAGAGCAAAAGCTTCTGTTACAGCCACTCCTTTTGTGGCCAACAATTCAAGGCTATTAGTACCTAATTTTGTTTGCAGGCTGGATACTTGGCATAATCTGCTACATTCTTTAGAGTTATTTACAAATTTAAGGTACCAAACAGCAGAGCTGTTTTGCAAACTAGACTCTGCCACCATATTTAGCACATGTGGGATTTTTCAGGTCATGCAATGTGTAAGGTCTGTGGAAACTATATTCCCATCTAAACCAATGGCACATAGAGGTGCTTTGCATCTTGGAAATAAACGAACAAGGATGACAAGATAAAAGGGAAAAGTTTACAGTGTAGGTTGTGCTGTGATATCATTCTGGGCACACCTAAAAGATCAGCATCTTTACATTTGTCATGCAGAAACAGGACTATCTGTGACGTGTGAGTAAAAGAGACTCAGCATAAAGCGTTAACACTGTGTTCACCAAGCTGGTGTTGTACATAAGAGCAAATAATGTTGTCTGATGTTTCTGTTTTATGTCTGGGGAGAAAATGAGTTCGGAACGAGAATGCAGATACTCAGCGGCTGTTCACGTCAGGGTGGGGGTGTAGATCAGTCTGGGATCAGCCACCCCTGATGGAATTGTTGCAATTGTAGGACCTTATTCTGCATTCTGCTGGACACATTGTTCCTTCCACTGTGTGCTGAATATCGGTCCCAAAAACTGCATGTTTGCTTTTGCTGGGGTAGAAGCTGCATTAACCAGCACCAATGCCTTTGCTCATACGTTGGAGTGCTGTTCAGATAATGTGTGTGGTTGTGGAAAGTTTGCAGAAGGGGGCATGTATTCCCCAAAAGCCGGCATGGCTCTGTAATGCGCTGTGTGCTGCCATCTGTTCAGTGCGTGTCTGTGACAATGAGATAATCAGTGCAAATTCAAGCTCACTCCAGCAGCTTCAGAACATCAATTCCTGCCTAACATTGTGTATCCCAGGGGATGCGTGTGTCAGTAGTATCAGACTTTAGGAAGACACTAATGAAAACTATTCCTCTGGCAAATCCACTGTCAGGTGTTGCCTATCAGAAGGCATATTGTTATGTGGCACTCGTCCTGAACCACAAGAGTCCCAGGTAATTCCATGTGCCAGGAAGCTGTTTGCATGAGACACCCCAATATCTTTAATGACAACTGTACAGTTAACTAATAGTCAAGAAAATTCCTAGTGCAGAACACTAAGCATTGGTAAACCTCCTGTTGTCATAAAATGGCCCAGTGGACCAACACACTCAGTAGTACTCGTGAGTTACCCAGCAGCATTATAAGCAAAGTGCCACCCACATTTATGGAAAATTGTTTATTTGGGGCTTTTGTTTTGCTTTAGCAAAGACAAAGCTAACCAAGGTATCACCAACTAAACGGTGACACCTCAGACATTGCCAGAACTCAAGCACAAAGTAGCTTCCCATAGCTTCCTGCTTTAACTGAATGGTATACCTCAAGCTTTTATCCCTTTCTTCCACATTCAGTCCTAAAATGCACAATTTTCTGGCATTTCGGTAACTCTACAGTACTTTGTGGGACATGGGCTTAGGCACTGTACAGCACAGCTGCAGCCAGTTCCACACAGACGACAACTTTTTTTTTTTTAAGAGGAAGCACTTTGCCACATACAGCTAGGGACCACCTACATCTTACACGCCTCACGTGGTATGTCATTAATCGTATACAACAAGCCAGTTCCGATTTCATCCTCGTGCTGTGCACCCCACCAAGAGTCAGCTGCTTAGTGGGCTCGGCACCACGTGCCCTTGAGTCCTGTGAGATCATCCGTGTGAGCACATTGCGGAGGAGGACGCGGTCGCTGGGCATGCGGAGACGTGGCTGTTGTGTGTCCCGTGTACGTGATTGCTCTCACTTGTTTACAGGCTCTCCCTCTCTACCAGATAAGTACCGCCACTCTCGGGAGATGATGATGCTGCTGCCAGCCCATCGGGACCGACCCAGCAGCGCCATGTATCCCGCAGCTATCATGGAGAATGGACAGGTAACGATCTCCTCTCCTTTGTGTCAGTTCAGCCACCTGCAACTAAGACTTTATTACTATTTTCGGCCACTTTACAGCTTTCCTTTTTATTTTTGGAAAGCGCAACAAATTACTTATGATCATTTTCAGAGGCAAGGCAGAACTTCTCATCATACCTGAGTCACCCACTTTGGCAGTCAAGCAATACAAGTTCTAATGACTCTTAAAATCTTTAAGATAGTTTGAGGTAACTCCTCCAGAGAACACAAGCAGCACGAACTGTGGGTCCTCAGCACTGCTACACTCCAGAGATCCACTAGTATTGCACTGCAGTGCTTGCCAATGTAGACGTAGCCTAAGGTTCTCCTGATTTTTTTTTAGTTAAAGAACTTTCTTTGCTAAAATTAAAAAAAAAAAAAAAAAAAAAAAAAAAAAAAAAAAAAAAAAATTGAAGGGAAAGCCTCAGGGTTCTGCACCAGCTGGTTGGTAACTTTTTTACTTCACCACTTTTCTTTGCTAACTGTCTTCTCCCTTAGCCTCCAAATTTCCAGCGCGCCTTCATCCAGCAAATGATTGGACCATGTAAACCTTGCAGTGATCCCAACCTGTCTGTGGCTGAGAAAGGTATTCTTTTTCCTAGTTGGCATGCATGCTTTCTAAAATATTACTACTCTGGTCATGCTGCAGCAAGTAACAAAAGGGCTTCTACATTTCCTTGCAGAGTGCATTCTCACATTTTTTTAATTAACAGTTTAATTAACTGGGCTGTCTGCCAACCTATAGTCATTTCAGATCATTCACAAAAGGGTGGACTTGCACAAACCTCTTTATTTCAGAAACCTTTTTAGTTTTTGCTATTGAAACAAATCCTGCTTCCTGTATCAAGCAAAACTTCCAAAGCAGCAAAAGAGAATTTGTTTGAAAGAGGAGTGCTGGATTTGGAATGTATTTTTAAATAATGAGCTTTAATATGCATTTTTTGTTCAAAGTACTAATTTTTCTTGTCATTCCTCTGTGAGGTAGTTCTATATTTATTTAAATTTATCATTAGGAATGTAAGATTTTTTTAAGTTATTGCTTTGAATATTGCTTTGAAATAAATAGGCAGGGCCCCTGCAGGAGAAAAAAAGAAAAAAAAAATTTGTTTGGTGTAAGAGAAAAGGAGGAGCTTGTGAAAGGGGTGCCATGGACAAAGCGATGGGCTCAAAACATTGCCTGAAAGGCAGCACTCTGAAAAAAGCAGAAGAGGGTATACATGAGTCAAAATCTGAGACAAGAAGACTGCCTCAGCCAGCAACAGTCATGTGTATGGCTGGGAAAAAGGGCATCTTAAAATATATTTAAGACCAGGAAAGACCATTGCAACTCTCTAGTGTGACCTACGTAATGCACCGCATCAGACTTTTATCAAGTTTTTTTGTTTGAGTAACTGCCTGAACTTAAACTGTATCTTTTTGGAACAAAAATACGATTTTCATTTTAGAATTTCTAATAAAGCAGAATCCAGTACTTTAATGATGTGACAGCCTTACAGAGCAGTCCAGATTGAAACCAAAAGCCAACGTACAGTTCTGAATAAATGGCAGAATGATGACTCAATGACAATAATGCATGATGACAACAGAGTTAAGATAAGGGGGGGTGAAGGATTAAGAGCTCCATCTTAGCTAGGTTAGGTTGAACTGAGTGTATGACAGAGGTGGCGAGATCTTTATTCTGGACAGGAGAAAGCTCTGGCAAAGGCAAGCAGGTAAATATTTATTCCTTGTCCAGGAAAAAGACTTGGAATTTCAATTTGCAGGCAATACTATGCAAGAGTGTAGTATACAGTGCAAAGAGAAGAGGGTCAAAGGCAGAATTCCCTCCAGGGGCCCAGAGAAGCCATGAAAGACACAGATGATGTTCAGCAACTGTTCTTAGGGGATGGTGTGACAGGAATCCCAGGTCCTCAGCTAGGCTGGTAGCATAAATGCAGTTAGAGGCATTTTTTGCAGCTCTTGAACCCCTATCATTCCTTTTAAGTCAGGATGCCATCTGCCTTGGTTTTTGTTAACTGTTATGCCCCGTGCATTTACCCGCCCCCTTCCTTGCCATGTCAGAAGCTTTGCTCAGTAATTCTCATCAACAGCAGGGTGATATCAGTCACCCAGAGCAGAATGGTGCAAGTGCAGCTTCCCTTCCAATTAACCTTGGCCACTGTGCCACCAAACGCTGTTTCTGTGGAGAGAGAGAGGAGCTAGGACAGTGCACTAGGAGCAGCCTGGTTAGGTTCCTCCCTGAAGTGATTTGGGTAAAATGCTGAACAGGCAGCAGACACTTTGCAAAATCATCTGACCTTAGGATGATTTCTAGTGTTCCTAAATACTCAGAAGGCCATGAATGAGGCAACACTGAGAAAGTATAAATGAATTATGCACTGGGGTATCACGGTCTCTTCTTCACATTCTTCTACTGCAGCTCAGTGTTGGGAGGAGAAGGCAGTACAGCAGTCCTTTTACAGGCCAGGCAAATCAGGTTTTGTTCTGTCCTCCCCTGATGCTGGTATAGCACGGGGGAGATGGGCATGCTGGCACTGTCACACATCTTGTCTCTCTGGGTCAGCCTTTGGACACCAACTGCAGCAGCGCACATCAGAGCACTCTGGCACATGCACAGGGGTACTCCAAAAATCCACCTGAGGCCGCACTGCTTGTGTTGAGATGTAGCCTCTGGTTTGAACCTGTTCTCTATCAAGATTCTAAGTGTCATCTTCGTATGCCTTTCTCAGTTTGAGGGCCTCTCTTTAAAAAACAATTATTTACTTCTGTGTTTTTAGAGGATTCTCCTGTCTTATGAAGCTGTCACTTTATAGTCTTTTTTAACTTAAGGGAATTTTAGGTCTTGGGAAGCCTGTGTTTGTGCTAACTCGTGAACTAAAAAAAAAACACAAAACTTTTCAAAGTCATTTTAGACACTAAATGCACCAAAACTTGCTACAGCCATTTTCCCTAAGGAGAAATCCTCTTCAAATGTCAAACTCCACATTTATTTCTCCAGGCTTCCATTTTCTAAACTGAAGATGGAAAAAAATATTTTTATCTCCATTTTCTTTGTCAGGCTTACTGAAATACTTCGCTTTCCTTTTTTTTCTTTTCTTTGCCTATCTGAAGAATTTTTTTTTTTTTAAAATAAACATACAATTATTGCACATCTATCTTATCAAAATAAATCAAGTCTTGCATTGTGTTTGGAAGAAGGGCAGGTGCATTTGAATATGTTTAAGGTTGACAGAATTCGCAAGATCTTGAAAAATGTTCCTGTTTCTTACAAGGAAGGAGCTTTTATTTCTATGAAAACCCAACGTGACTAAGTTCATACTTGATATCTGCTATGAGGAAAGCCCTGCTCTCTCTGTACTTCCTGACTATCTTTTCAGGTGACTCTGTAATACAAGAAGCCCAAACTGCTGTCCTTACCTATTTTTTTGATCAAAATTCTTGATAAACTCTGTAGCTCAGGGCTTTAAAGTCATGACCGCTTTTGGAAGAGATTGAGGTATAATTTCTCTCATGCCCTTTATTCAGTTTTGCTTGGGTGCTGTAGTGCAGCAACAGGCCTTTGTGTTCCATGAAGGTTCTGCCACACGTCCCTTTCTGCTCTGCCATCATTTAGCACCCAATAGAAGAGCTCACAACTGAGACCTGGCTGCTGTTCCATCAGTAGGATTTCATTTTTAATTGCTCACTAGTTTTCAGAAAAACCCTAGCAGAGTTCTGCTGCTCTTCACATTTACTAGACATGAGCCGAGGGGGTCACGGAGGGGAGCTAGGCAGACTAACACTGCGAGCACCTAACTCTTGCTTCCTTAACAAAGCCACCTAGAAACTTAACACGCTGTAGCCTGGGTGATGTCTCTGTGTGCCTTCAATCCTGCTGTCCACCAGGTCCCCAGACTCTGTCTCTTTGCTGCTGAAGAGCACACAGGAAAGCCAGTCTTTCTGGCCCTGTAACCCCCCTGTTCTGTCACCCAAGTGAAATCTGTTTCAATCCTTCAGCTGTGCCAGCAGCGCCCAGTAGCTGGAGCCTAGACAGCGGAACCCGAGAGGCCCTGCCATTCCTCTCTGCCCACGTTGGGAGCATCTTGGCCCCACCAGTGCCTCCCCGAAGCCTGCCCCATGGTAAGGAGACACCCAGTAGGCTGTCTGCATCACGCCTGCAGTCACGCACAGATAAACCTAGACCTTAGCCTTGTCTTCCCCCTATAAAAACAACCAGAAACAAAACCCCAAAGTCTTTCCTGGTCTGCTAAGTTAACAATGGACAAAGTTTTCAATTTTTTTTTTTTCACCAAAGTCTTCACACTTTTTGTAGTCTTTACAGTAATATAGACTTGCCTGTGTTTTGGGACTAGAACTAGGTGTGTGAGTGGTGAAGCTTGGCCTGACTTCTTACCAGTGACCGTCTTCGGCAGTAATTCAAGGTTACAAAGCTATAAAATGAAACTTTAAATGTTCATTGTTTATGAGCCTGTTGCCTTGCCCTGAGATCCTTGATAACAGGAGTGCGTGGAAATCTATCACTGCACTTAACTTCTTATTAGTGTTTTGTGTGTGTAACAGATGCTCTCCACAGCATCTAGCAGAAAATGAAGCCCCAGGTTGGAGTGGAGTTATGGGCAGCTGGAGCTGGTGCCTGGCATTCTAGAGTGTAAAACCCCAGCTATTTTGCTGCAGCGAGGCAGCACAAGTCTACATTTCTGACCCTTGTCTTGTTCCAGGACACTACTCACTGCACTTTGATGCCTTCCATCACCAGCTCAGCGACGCTCCTCCAGCGCTGCCTGCACGAACGTTACGCAAGGTAAAAAACAACGTGGCAGGAGAGCAGAGAGGAATGGACAAGGAAGAGAACAGGCCCCTGAAGCACTCCCCCTCCTCCACTCCCACCAAGCAGCTCCTGAACACAGAAAACACTCTTTTGAGCACTCTAGTAACTTAAAAGTGAGAAAATCCACTGAAAGCTCATAACCTATTCCAGAGCTGAGTTCTATAGAATTAACTTACACGTGTTGTAGGCCCTTACACTTTCTTTCTTTGCATCATATGCTCTGACTTCAGGCACCCCAAGAATCACCTCAACTCCCATTTTTTTAACAGCTCTGGTGGTGTTAAGCACCCTGGTCTGCTCACAAGACCTACCTCCACACAAGTCAGGGGGTCACTGCCATTTCGCACACTTATGGAACTGCACCATTGTTAGGATTGCTGCCAAAAGCTGAAGTGTGGAACAGCACAAGATGTCGCATTGCCTCCTCTGTCAAGTTTAACCTGGTTTTGTTTTTCTCCCAACAGTCTCCTCTTCATCCTATCCCTGCATCGCCCACCAGTCCACAGTCTGGTCTAGATGGAAGTAACTCCACTTTATCAGGCAGTGCCAGCAGTGGTGTCTCTTCCTTGAGCGAGAGCAATTTTGGACATTCTTCTGAACCGCCTCCTCGCACAGACACCATGGATTCTGTCCCCAGCCAAGCCTGGAACACTGACGAAGATCTAGAGACACCCTACCTCCCTGTCAGGTACAGCCTCTCTGAGCCTGATGTCCTAGAGTCACTCAAATCCCAGCCATGCCGAAGCCACTCTGCTCCATCTGGAGTCATTCCTCAGGACACCATGGACCCTCCTGCTCTACCCCCCAAACCTTACCACTCCCGGCTGCCAAACATGGAGAACGAGGAGGGGATGATAATTGAGGATGATGACAAACACCGCCCATTGCATCGTAAAGTGTCCCAGCCCGTGAGTGGTGGGAAGGAGGAGCAGGCCAGGGTAGCGTGGGAGCACGGCATCAGTGAGCAGTAGGGACGGCTCCCGGGAGCTCGTGTCACCACTCCAGGTGTGACCACGGAGGAGAGGGAGGACTCGGAGAACAGCAAACCCATCTTCTACTGCCGCAAGTTTATGTCCGGAGCCCACAGAAGCAATTGGGCCAGCATGGGAGGTTGCTGCTTTCCTTTTTAATTTCTTTTTACACCTTTCCGTTACACTTTTTAACTTTATGTGCAGTGGACAGTTTATTCCTTCTGCAGTTTCTTAACCACATCGTATGGCACACAGGCCATAGAGACATGCGGAAGCTGAAAAAACAGAATTTTAAGCAGAGGGGGAAAAAGGGAGGGAATGTGGCAAGTTGATTTTGAAACGGCTTTCCTCCCAGTTCTGAGACGCACATGAGTAGAAGCAGTTGCACTAGGGACATATTTCTGTGCTGTACAGAAGTGAAAGCTCATTGCTGAAATCAGGGATTCTATGAACTGTCAGGCTGGAAGGTGCATGAGCTGCAGGCAGTGGAAAGATGGCAATTCCAAGAAATTGGCTCTTTTGAGAGCAGGATTGTACATATCTGTGCAGTGATCTCCCTGCATTGGTTCATAGGTGCTGAGGCAATCTAACCAGTGCTGATGCACTGATTTTCAAGATATCATTTCCAACAAACTCTGCCTCCTTTGTTTTTTATGTACTGTTTGATTTCTTAAATTTTGCTTTCACTGGCTAAACCAACCTGCTTTCTCATTGGAGTCATATGCTATTCATCAGTGCTACAGAATGAGAGGAGGTTAGTAGCCCCTGGAGCTACCACCTCATTGTTGGCCTTTCCCATGCCCAACTTTGGGCAGGCTGTTGACACCAGCATTTCTAGTACAATTTAAAAAAAAAAAAAACACACATGCAAAACCAACCAAACTGAGTTTCTCATGAAACAGCTGGTTGATGACCCAGCCAGTAAAGATGGCTTAAATGTATCACATCTAACAATCCTTGCCTCAGGGCTGAACGTCACAATTCTCACCACCTTCCATCACCCAGGAGCTGAGATTCATTGCCCATTAACATTATGTCCTCAGTCCCTCCCAAAAAACTCACTGCAGCTGGTGTGCAGAAAGAATCTCCCATCTCTCACAGTAGACAGAAGACACCAAGATTCAAGAAATGCCCAGTCCATAGTGTACACTCTAGAGTCAGGGATCTAAAAGGCAACCTGTAAAGAAGTGTTTGTTTCCTCTTTTGCTCCTTTAGAATGTAAAAAGTAGCTTTAAAAGCAGCAGCTTCTCTCTTCTGGAAGGTTGATTTCGTTTCTCCTCAGGCAGCAATACAGCCACATACACTTGGTTTTTTGATTGACAGGCCTCAGAAAGGACTGAAGAGCATTTAAAAAACAAAACACAAAACCCCAAAACCAAGAAGCAGAACTACACAGAGGTCAAGATAGTACAAGGCTATGGACACAAAACAAGCCTTTCAATCAGTATTTGCTTAGTTCAGTACGTGACAAACCAGGAAAAAAATTATTTGGCTAATAAAGCCAAGATCCATTCTTTGAAAAGAATACTAAGAAATAATTTATCCTTATTTTCATATTTTTCAAGAAACTTTTAAGAGTGTATCAAATATTTGATGTTTTTAGATAAGCAATATTCCTTTCCCCTCCCCCAGGCCCACCTGCATTTTAGCCTTCCTTATAACCCTCCTGACCTGCAGCCTGCAAAGCACACGCCCGAGGAGGGGATCAACCACCCCTGTTCTTACCACTGAAAAAGCCTGAAGCACATTCAAATGAGACTTACCTCCACCATATAAATTAGTGTCAGGAACAGGAATAGCACTCAACTTTCATACTGAATTCTTGCCCTTACCACTCAGTTTCTCATGCTACAAACAGCATCAAGAAGCAAAAAAGGATATTCTACATCTTTTACAGGTCACCTTTAGCACTACCTCTAAGTACGGTGTCTGGGCAGAATACATTGCTCCTGAACTCTCCTAGAGATGGGATGTCTGTACAAAGTCTGGACTCAGCAGTCATTTGAAGACGATGTGTTTTATTTTCTTTCTCAAGCTCTAGCCCATGCAAAACAAATAAGTTATGGATTTGTTTCTTAAATGGCCTATTTGGCTGGAACAAAGTCTCTCTTGCTTCCTCTATTTTGTTACTAACACAGGCTGCTTGTAATCATATCCTTCACAATTTAAGAGAATAACAAAACCTGACCTATAGTGGATGTTTCATCTCTAGCAGGAAGGAGAGTTTTCCAATGCTACGACACTCCAAACTCTTAATGAACCAAGCTGGATCTCTGGTATCATACACATGTATGAAAACTCAACTCAAAATGATGGTTTTGGTAAAGGTAAGTCAAGGTAATTCCTTAGAAATGAGCAAAGTGTTTTCACATATGCTATTCTCCAGTCTGACTGAGACTCTTCAAGGGAACCTTTTCATTCCATCTCCCTTGCCTTTTTTTTTTTTCCTTTATTTTTTGGCAGGAAGATCAAAAGTAGTAAACTCCTTATGACTAAACAAAACAAAAACACACACAACACCAACAAACAAACCCACAGCAGGTCTTGGAAATAAAACTTTGCGAAACCAAGGATGCAACTAACGTGGACCTAAGTCCCAGTCAGCTGGAAAACTTGCCCACTAAAGCTCTGATCAGTCTCAAAAGCTAACATCTTGCTCTGATTAGAGACCTGGTACAACAGCAATGAGTCCATTTTGGGAGTCTGACATTCCTGTGTATTTGTAAGGGTTTGAAGAGCAATCAGATGATGTATACAAATACATGGCAGGTCCACACATAAGACAATAAATTGCTGAATCTACCAAAGTTAAGATGCTCTGGAGTTAAATTTGTTACTGTTCTGATATCTACCAAGTATTCTGTCTCCCTTTTCAGTGCTTGCCTTAAAGGGGACAGAAGATAGATAGATGATGATGAAGATCTTGTGCATGTTGGAACTAATACTTCTTGGAACTAATACTTGTCTGTAGGGTGAGGTGTCTTACATCATAGTACAACTCCCATGTCACGCTCAGTCCTGGAGTAGGTGGTAGCAACACCAGTTATTGTACTTGCCCAGCAGGCTTTGAAGATTCCTTGTGTAAACCACAGTAACAGGATGTTTTGAACAGGACCTTGTCATTCTATACTTGAGTCTAATTCAAACTTAGTATGTACTTGCCTTCATTGGGTTTTCTTTGCGTAAAAAAAGAGCATGTGCATTCCTGAGAAAATTGGTGGAATTCTGCTACAAACCTCTCCATCATCAGTGTACCTGCTGCCCCACTTCCAACGAAATTGAGAAGGAAATACAATAGTAGATGAAAAGCAATTAAAAAAAAAAATCTCTAAATCCTACAATTTTTTTTTAAGGGTTGGGTTTATTACTGTGTGCAAGACTAAGATCTTTTCCCTCTGTTTGTTTTTTAGCTTACACTTTTTAGGCAAGGGATATTGCATATCCCTTCTGTGGGAGAATCAGCCAAAACTGGGGAGGCTGGAGAGAGCAAGAGCCTTTGGGAAACAAATTATGTGATATTTAAAATTTCCTCTGATCATGCTTCTTTGTAAATACCCCCATTTGAATGCTGTGTATTTGTACAGGAAATTGAGCAAAAAATGTATAGATTGTGATGTCTGACTGGTATTCTGCCCTGTAAATGTGTTTTTAACCTCTGGCATTCTGTGCTTATTTAAAAAAGGCAAAAATCTCTAACCACTTCTCTTTTGTGTATTCATGTTTAAAATAAAATGAGAACAGCTATCTTATCTATAATGGAAATCAAATTTAAAAGGAAAAAAAAAAAAAAAGAATTTATACAAGTGTCCTAAAGGTACTTCATTGTATATATTGTGATAGCATGTTTCCAGAACCAACAAATAAGTGGTGTGAATTTTAGATGTAAATATCTGCCGTTTGTTTGGGGTTTCTTTCCCTTACTCATTCACTCGACTGCTGTGATGTGGAATTAAAGATTAATACCTGATATTAAACTGGTACAGCTGTATGTTCTTTGCTGTCCTCCAGACAGGGTTATCCTCAGGCTGCTCCAGACATTCAAGAGGTACCTGGCAACAACCATTGCTCCCCACTTCAGTGTGAATGAGGAAACCATGGGCCAACCAAAAGGGCCTTGTGGCTATTGTGTGTGGTGGGGGAGGAGCTTCCACATCACTCTCTTACCTGACAGTGCACTAGTTGAGTTACTGTCAGCTTCTCAAAGCAAGCATCAGACATAGTCTGGTGAGTGGGTAGCTTTACTGATACAGGCAACAGCCCAAGACACAGTTCTGAGATGGTAGTTTCAGAGAGGGACTGAATCATGGATTAGTTCTCCAGTATGTATTTCACTGCTCCTTCATCAGCAGAACTTCACTTTTTTTTCACTGCAATAGCAAGACATTTTGGGTAGATGATTTCATTTCTTAAGAACAAATAATTTTAATAGAATAGGTGTAAAAGAATAGTAATTCAGACACATAGGGTTTGAGAATTAAGAGCTACAGTAATATCCATGTGCAAGTGATCTCAAAAATGGGCATTTTCTTCCCTTGCCACTAATAAACCAGGTCAAGGCACAGGACACAGAAAAAGTAACCCTTTTCTCCCATCCTGTCTCGATGAACCAATAAAAAAGATGTATGAAAGTTGACCCAGAAGACATTGAACAGTAAAATATAACAGCAGTCTAACTTCAGCTGGCCACGGGGTGTATGCGGACTGCCAAGCCACCCTTTTCATTAAGGACATGCCACATACAATTACTGAGGAGAGAGAAACTAACAAAATACTTCAAGCAGCATTTAAAATATAAAAATGTGGCTTAGCTGAAGTGTTCACCTGACACCCCAAAAACATCTGTATAAATCGGAGCCTTCAACACCGCTCCTAGTCCAGCTTGCTGAATTTCAGTTAAGTAATTTATTTTTTAAATTCAATGAAAAAAATATTTTTTCAACGAAGCATAGGAAATAAAAGCTGTTTGGGGCACAACAAAAGATGCATGAAGCCCTCAGCTT